TTATATATGTTTCTGATATTCTAATTGTTTTTTTACTTGTTGTATCTGTTTCTGAGTTGTTACCAAATGCTGAGCACAGAATGTGTGCAAGACACATATGGAGCAACTGGAAACAAAAGTAGAAAGGAGAGGAAAGAAGGAAGAAGTTTTGGGCCTGTGCAAGGGCTTCATTTGAAGCATATTTTAAGGCTAAGATAGATGAGCTGGCAGAATTAGGTGATAGTAAGATCATTAAGGACTTGCTGAGATACCCAAAACAATGTTGGTGTAGAGCATTCTTCAAAGATTGGAGTAAATGTGATTCTGTGGAGAACAACATGTGTGAGACCTTTAACAGTTGGATCTTGTCTGCTAGGCACAAGTCTATCATAACCATGTTAGAAGAGATTAGAGTGAAGGTGATGGAGAGGATGACTACCATGAGAGAATTTGCAACAAGGTGGATTTCTGATGTATCTCCTATGGCAATGGGGTACATAGAGGAACAATCTCAATATGCTGTTAAGCATGAATTTAAATGGAATGGGGATACTGGGTATGAGATACAACATGGGGTTTACAAACATATTGTTGACTTCTCCAACAATACATGCACATGTAGATCATGGCAGCTCAAAGGAATACCATGCTCCCATGCAATATGTGCAATGTTTTTTAAGAGATTTGAGCCTGCTGACTATGTAACCCACTGGTACAAGAAAGAAACATACCTGAAGGCTTTTAGTTGTTATATACAGCCAGTAACCAACATGGAGATGTGGCCATCAACACAGAATCCAATTGTTGAGCCTCCTGTGATTTTACCAAGATGCCTGGTAGACCTAAGAAAAATGGAAAAAGAGCTCAAGATGAACCTAAGAAGAAGTTTGGTAAGAGATCAAGGAAAGGGACACCAATGACATGCTCTAATTGTAAGACAGTAGGCCATAACAAGAAGGGGTGTCCTATCCTGGTAATGTATCCAATTTGTGTCTGATTTTGGAAATTTCTATATCTCATTTTCTATATCTCATTTTTTATTTTGGAAATTTCAGAAAGGACAAGGATCTGGAACAACAGGAACCAGTAATGCTGGTGCTACTCAACCATCACAAGCTGCTCAAACAACAACTCAACAATCAGGTCCTACAAGTGATTCTGGAACTGCCAGGGGCCACAAATACTCAACCATCAGTTGTTGCAAGTGCATCTGTAAGTATTCATTTTAGTTAATTTAGTTAATCTGTATTAGGACCAAAATTTTTAAATTACAAGATAATACTTTGTCTTACATCAGGATACTTGAAGTATGAGATCAAAAACTTCTGAGGATATTATAGCTAGTGTTAGATGAAGGCCAAGAGGTAGTGGACTTCGAGGAAGACCAAGAACTACTGGATTTGGTATATTGTTTAGTGAAACAGGAACAGTGATAGAAAGGGTAAGATCATTAAGGATTTGAATTTTTATTTATATATTAGTAGTTTGGGTACTAATTTGGCTTCCCATGCAATGTGGATTAAGAGATAGGGTACATCCTTCTCCTACAAATGTAGTGGATGCTGGGCAGACCAATATCGATCTTGGATACAGTGCACCTGGACTAAGGTGGCAAAGAAGAAATGCTATATTACATAGGCAACTTCAACAACAGTTGAGGAGAAGACAAACTCAAGCAAGCCTTAGCCAACCTCAAGCCCATTCTTCATCTCAGCCAAGCCAGTCCTCATGTCCAAACTTGAGCCAATCTCAGCAAAACATCAACCAATCTCAACCTTGAAGATGACTGAATACTTGTTTTTGTGATAACTTAAGTCTGTTAGTTGCAGAACTTAATTTGTAGGTTAACTTAAGTCTGTTTAAGTATGACTTTTCTTTTGGAACAATGTTCAAACTATTTCTGCTACTAGACAGCAGTCCAGTGCTAATTTTGTCAACCAAGAAGGCTGATCGAACTTGGTTGTTTATATATGTGTGCTTGTTTATGTTAAAATTACTTTTCATTCCACAAAAAATACATCATTCATTCTGTCATTATCATTGTACATAGGGTTATGAAGACACTTATTAGTGCTAACTAGACTAAGAAGAAAATTACAATTATTAGTGCTACTATAACAACTAAAGTTACAATGATCTTCACCCTCTTCCTATGTTGTAGTTGATCTCTTTCTCTAATTCTTGATAACAGCCCTGAAATCACCTGTTTATAGTGATCTGGAAGAGGTGGGTCAAACCACCTAAAAAAATTACAAGAATTGGCTCGACCATAGTTTGAGCACCCATAAAACCTCCGACCTGGATTTGTTGGCTTCCAAGTGATGCAAATATGAGCTTCAACTCCACAATGACAAAATACAAGACTTTGATACATTATCACAATCTGGAAAAAGAAAAAAAAAATTAAAGAAAGCTTCAGATTTTAAGAAATAGGCAAAATGAAGCTTCAAATGCATATAATAGAGGGATAATGTGTATCCAATTGAAAGAATAAGACCCCACTTAAATAGGCCCTATTTTTTACCGTTGGGTGTTGGGAATGGGGTCTCTCACGCTCCTAAAAGTCGTGACATTCACGCAGGGGGCTGACTAGGACCAACTGACGCCACATGGGATGGGTCAACGGTCAATTGTGTTTATTAGTTATAGGTTTCAGGAGTTTGAGTGTTTAAATGGGAAAGACAAAAGTTTATATATCGGCTTTTAAAAACGCTACAAGTTTGAGTGGCCAGGAAGCCATTTCGCCTAGTAACAGATTAGAATTAGTTGATAATATTACATACAGTGCATAATTTGTTAATAATTACCACCAACTGAGCCTAAGTCCGTTGGTAAATTACCAGCTAATTTTGAAAATAGTTGGAAAGTTGCCAACTAGTTTTAAAACGATTGGGAAATTTAACGATGAATATTAAATCAGTTGATATTTTCTGACGGATCTAGCATTTAGTGATAAATTTTTATCAATATACATCATGAGCCACACTCCAATATTGTATGTGCACAAATACGAATCCTTTTTTATGAACTATATATTTTTGAGTCACACTCCATCTGCTATTTATAGAAATAACTCGTTGATCGGAAGTTTTGAGTTAGGTGTTTTTACTTCTGCATGCATTAGATGATTTTGGATTAAAAAATCTTTTAGGAAAAAAGATAATAATACTTTTTTTTTCTTTGGGTTAATATTTTAAATTTCATTGGAAAATATTATATAAGAGGGTTGTCGTTCCCATTCAGAAGAAGCATAACTATTTTCCAACCCTTAAAGGTTAAAGGGATAAAGTGGATTTAACCCTTTCCAATAAACTGAAGGAAATGTCACTTAGCATCACTAGACGATGCCAAATTATAACTTTCAAAAAACTGCCAAATTATAACCAATGGAAGGAAATCTATATATTTTCTTCAACCAACTCATCGGTCAAGGTTCGTGTCCTCAAAATAAATATTCCTACTCAACAAAGGGGCCTTTCTATTTTTCGTGACACTTAATAATGAAGGGAATAAAACAAAAAATCAACTCCATGCTTGGTTTAATTAGAGAAGAGGAGAAAAAAAAAATATTAATTAGGAAGTAAATATAAATATGTCTATATATCTTTCTCTCCATGTGTGTGTATGTGTATGACCTTCTAAACAATTATCATAACGTTCTTTACTAATTCTCTTTCTTGCAAATTAATTTGTTTTATTGAAAATGCTTTTAGAAAAGTTTGAGATTGTCCTCTGATGTGAGGTAATATTAACTTGTTTATTTAATTTAAAAAGCATACTCTCCTAATTTTCTTTCTAAATTTTGTATATCGACTGTATATAATTATGTTTTCACAATAGACTAGATTTGCTTCACACTATTTACCATTTTCAATTTCTAGTCAAACTATATAAGACTTATTTCAATAAAAGAATTTTTGAACAACAAAAGGTGATAAGACTTCTTTCATTGTATTTTTTTTATAATTGTCAAATAAACTCCTCGCCCAAACTCAAAACCCTTCATATTTTGAGACTTATGCTTCGCCCCACGTTAAGTAAAACATCTCAGTTCACACTCCGCTCTTTAAAATACTGTTTACTAAGTTAATTAGTACTACTGTAAGTAGCATGAAAGATGTTGGATATGACAAAGAGGGAAAAAAAATTACTTGAAAAGAGAGATTTAGATATATATGTCGATTGATATTTTGTGCGTGTAGCTGGAAGCTAGACGATTAAGAAAGAAAAACTTGATAGTGCAAATCAATTCGTTGCCATTAATTAATAACTTGATGAAAAGGATATATGATATGCGTAATTAAATTTTTAACTTGTAAAGGATAACCTTAGATAAAGATCCAACATACAATAAAAGCAGAGTTGTACCATTTTCTCCATTGCTCTATTATGTACATATTTATTCGCTTATAAACAGAATAATATTAGTTATACTACGTTATCCTAAGTTATACCCCAATTAGGGTAAAAACTTACCCCAAAAATGTCCATTATTCTTAATATTTCCCTACCATTTCTTCTTCACTAGACCAACTAGTGTTGCTATATAATGATGTTCAACTTCCTTTGATCCTTCATTCAATTTTCAATATCTTCTCCTTCCTATTGATCAGCTGAGTTTGTGTTGTCAAAAAAAATAAGAGTTTCAGAGTAGGCATTATATCCTAGAGATATAGGAAATTACGACTGTTTTCATTAAACTTCTCTTGCACGGTTTTACTGCATTTGATTATTATATTGTTGCTATTTTGCATCAATGACGTACTTCACCACTGCTATGGTCATGATTTTTTTAGCGGGCATTTTATGCCAAGGAGGATATTGCCAACAAATAACACCACCTCCTAATGCAATAGTAGCATTAGATGGATCAGGCAATTATACGACAATAATGGCTGCAGTCTCGGCAGCTCCAAACAACAGCATTACAAAATACTACATCCTAATAAAACAAGGAACCTACAACTGAGTATGTCCAAATCGAAGAATGGAAAACAAACATACTTCTCATCGGAGAAGGAATGGACAAAACCATAATATCAGGGAATAAAAGCTATGGAGGTGGCATCCCGACGTATTACAGTGCTACCGTAGGTAATTAAACTGATCGCTCTTAATTTACTCCCATTAATCATATCACACACTTTAACAATAAAAAGATATTTGTAATTTGTTAAGTATTACGTTTGCATGCAACAGTATTGGATCTGATGACTGTTTAATTTGGTTTCTCTTTCAAGGGGTGAATGGGCAAGGATTCATGGCGCAAGACGTCACTTTTCGAAACATTGCCGGAGCTAAGATGCAACAGGCAGTAGCTTTAAGAGCAACTGCTGATTTATGCACCTTCTATAGGTGTAAATTCGACGGTTTTCAGGGGGCACCATTGACTTTATATGTGGCGATGCAACTGCGGTGTTCTAAAATTGTTTAATTGAAGCACGTATGCCACTTCCTGGCCAATATATTACCATCACAGCACAACAGAAAAATGGTGAGAAAGAAGCAACAGGATTCGTGTTGCAAAATTGCACGTTACAGTTAGCAACTCCAGATGCGGATAATGTGACTATGTATTTAGGGCGGCCATGGGGTGACTTGTCAAGTACTGTGATTATGCAGAGTTACATAGACCTATTGATAAATCCAAAAGGGTGGATAGAGTTTGAGGGAGAGACCCTAGTTCGCCCATTCTATATGGAATTCAATAATACAGGATCTGGTGCAAACACAACGGAACGTGTGAAGTGGGCGCATGTCACGAGTGATCCTAAGGTCGCATCAAGTTTCACTGTCAGGAATTTTATCCAGGGCGACAAATGGATACCCTCCACAGTCCCACATTACTTAGATCTCATAAGAATGCAAATGACAAAGTAATTCATCAGATAGCAGTATATTTGTTAGTATTATTAATATGGTTTGCAATTTATTCTCTTAGCAAAATATGTAGTGCTAAAATGATAAAAGACACATGTTTTTCATATTGTTCTGAAATTCACCGACCAAAAAAGGAAAATAATTTGACCACGTAAAATGACACTCATTGTAGAATTTGTGTCTCCCCATTGTCTTTGCGATTTTTCCTTTCTTTTTCTTGCTAGTTGGAACTTCTTAAAGACATTTGTTATTTTCCTTTTGTGATTTGAATAGTGCCTTTGTAATACATGAGCCGAGAATATCTATCAGGCAGCACAAATAATGATACAACAAGCTACAATCTTGATTTTTAAAATCTCCTTAATCGACAAATTAAATATAGTCGTAATGTTACTATAATTTTCAGTCTCCAGTCGAGCAAAACCATGATTGCAGAAGCAATATAATATGAGTAGCTCCGATGATAGTAGCAACAGAGGCGGACCCACTATTTGAAGGTAATGGAGTCACCACTATTTTTAATATAAATATATTTTGTTTTAATAACTCGATATTCAGTATCCACACGGCCAACTAATTCGGATTAGCACGACGTAGAGCCCATTAAAGGGGAAGCGGTCCCCACTAGAAATCTCGTCACTCTATATAGGGTTGAATCCAAAACCTTTGATTAAGAGTAGAGGGCAACACATCCCCTCGTGGTTCTTTAACGTAGACATGTTAAATACTAACTACAAAATTTGGTGTTCGGCCCTTGGAAAACTTAATTATTGTGACAATTTATGAGCAAAGCATAAGCTTCAAACATATATATTATCAAATATTATTAATTTGGTGCTAATATAACAAAAGTACGTACAAATTTTGTGTCTTAACACTAACAGAATATAATGACCAATTGAAACAGTTAAAGTTGACAATGATAGTCCCTACAAAGATGCTTCGGCATTTGCTTAATTCATTATTTGTAGTATTAATTATTAAGGTCAGTTCCTACCAATTTGTATATAACAGAAATCACAGAGAATCAAAATGCTTGAATAAGTAGAACATGTCCTCTATATTAGTCACTAAAAGGAGGTGAAAGCAATAAGAGTAGGTTTGGGGGGTTCTGAGGGAGGAACTTATTACCATATTTACCAACTAAATTGTTTAGTTAGTAAAATTTTGCTTGGCAATTCGTTACTAAATTCTGAAAAATAAAACAGTTACAATTTTTTTAGTAATCTGCTACTAATATACTAATAAATTTAGGTCGTTGGTAAACCCCGTTAGCAATTGGGGGTTTTATGTAATGTGAAACCTTGGCTGCTGTTACCAATTTGGGATGGCTTCTTAATTGGTTTACTTGCTTAGGGAAATGATTTTGGTCACATACGATAAAATGAAGTCCCTTATCAGAATAGAAAAGACCTTACTACCCCTCGACTTTTTTCTCCGTAATTATAGACAATTATTGAATTATCTTATCACTTAATTGTATGGGTCCAAATTTGGCAACTACGACGGTTACCGAATAAGACGAGGAACCAGGTTATCGTGACACAACATCTAATGGTCGTCGTGATGAAGGATGACAACCAAGAACGGTCAGTCGAGATAAGATGTCAACGGTAGTGTAAACTTAGTGGAAGACAGTAAGAATATGCTTTTCGAATATTCTTTATGTTATACTTTTTAGGGTTTCTTGGGAGATTGTCCCTTATAAATAGGAAGAGTTAGTGAAAAAAAAAGGGATCCAGAAAAAAGACAAAAGAACACTTTGTAAAAGATTCATCTGGGGGTAAATACAAGAGCAGCCTTTTTCATTGATTACACATCCTAAACCTATATCATTATACGATATTGATAAGATCAAAAGATTCCACAATCATTACATACTTATTTCATTCTGCGCCGACTGCATTCATTTAGATTGATTGCACATTTAGGTTGTAGCAGTTATGAGAATTTAATTGATTCCAACAAAATAGCTAACATCATTCATCTTGCTTACTTCCTTTATCACTTGATCTAGATTTTATTATTCTTAACTGAGTTTCACCCTTCTTCTAACTATAAGGTTGGTTTAATCAAAGGATTTAACATCTTTTGGTCAAATAATTTGGCGCCGTCTGTGGGGAGCTCTTTAGTTAAGATTTTAGTTTCATCTAGATCATAAAAAGGGATAATCATCTCTTCCTAGCTTGGCATAAACTAACAATGGCAGGAAAAGGAGATGCAAGGTTAAAAGCAATAGCAGGTGTCACAACCAACATCCTGAACACCATCAACGAAGACGGCAGGGAAGACAACGAAAATGACACCAAACGTTACACCTAGGAGAGATGCTTCACCTCCCCCGCACAAAAGCGTAACTGCTTCACGCGAAAAAGAAGCCTCCACATCTACAACAGGAGAGGCACCACCGGCAGTAAAAAGACTACTGGAAGAGTGGCTAACAAGCACTCTGAACAACATACTTGATAAACCCACTCAAAGGGAGAATAGAGACATTGCACACATAGATGTCACGACAATCGCTGGCGAACAAGATGATCCCCGCACAGGTAACACTCATACTACTGTTGATGCAGGTAATGACGCACTCGCAACCATTCTAAAGAAAATGGAGGAAATGAAAAATGAGAATAAGGCACTCCGCGACCAGATGAAGGAGCATCAAGAAAGGGTTGACAAAATACTAGGCGCCCCAAAGTTGTTACCAAAATGTGACGTTGGTCGATTCATCGAGCAACCATACAATGAGGAAGCAGCCCCCCACGCCATTCCAAAAACCTTCAAAATGCCACCATACCTGAAGATATATGACGGTACTACAGACCCAGAGGATCATATCATCCACTACGTCACAGTCGTAAAAGGCAACGATCTTTCGAAAGAACAAGTATACCATCGGTGCTACTGAAAAAATTCGGCGAAACCTTAACATGGGGAGCCCTAACCTAGTACTCACAACTACCAGCGCGGTCAATAGCAACGTTCGAAGAAATGACGGACAAGTTTATCACCGCTCATGCAGGAGCTAAAAAGGCGGAAGCCAGGGTAAATGACATATTCGCCGTTAAGAAGACGCACGGCGAGGGACTCAGGGATTTCTTAGCCCGGTTTAACAGGGTGAGAATGAGCTTGTCGAACGTGTCAGAGGGGATGGCGGTAGCAGCCTTCCAGAACGGGTTAAGCAAGAATGGGTCGAGAGCGACCAGAAAACTGTTAAGCAGGCTCATGAAATACCCTCCCACCACTTGGGAAGAAGTCCACAACGCCTATTGCGCGAGGTAAGGGCCGACGAGGACGACCTCAATGGTCCGATCCAACGGCTGACGTCAGTTCAAGCTGAAGCAAGAAAGATCGTCGCAACGACGGTCGAAGGGATCAGTTAGGACCCTGTATCGGCCGAGAAAGGCATCAGCCCTATATCAGGACATCTATCTTACCTCTTCCGCGGCACGCAGATGCCCTTCCTCGACATACCGCGCCACACCGAAACGAAAGAGGTATGCCTCCGCTCTTATCTGCTCACAATTTTTGTGTTTCTCCTTTAGAAATAGTGTACGCACTAGAGAAGCTCGGCACAAAGGAACAGTGGCCGCAAAAGATAAAGTCCGACCCGAGCACTCGGAAGTCGAACGTTCTTTTCAAAACTTTGCTGGAGCTCAGATGCAACAGGCAGTAGCTTTAAGAGCAACTGCTGATTCATGCACCTTCTATAGGTGTAAATTCGACGGTTTTCAGGACACCTTATACGCACACTTTGGCAAGCAGTTTTACAGGGAGTGCACAATTTTGTGTACCGTTGATTTTATTTGTGGCGATGCAACTGCGGTGTTCCAAAATTGTTTAATTGAAGCACGTATGCCACTTCCTGGCCAATATATTACCATCACAGCACAACAGAAAAATAGTAAAAAAGAAGCATCAGGACTCGTGTTGCAAAATTGCACTGTACAATTAGCAACTCCATATGCGGGTAATGTGACTATGTATTTAGGGCGGCCGTGGGGTAACTTATCAAGTACTGTGATTATGCAGAGTTACATAGACCTATTGATAAATCCAAAAGGCTGGATAGAGTTTCAGGGAGAGCCCCTAGTTCACCCATTCTATATGGAAGTCAAAAATAGAGGGCCTGGTGCAAACACAACAAGACGTGTAACGTGGACGCGTAATGATCCTAATGTCGCATCAAGTTTCACTGTCAGGAATTTTATCGAGGGTGATAAATGGATACCCTCCACAGTCCCACACTACTTGGATCTGCTATGAATGTAAATGATACTGTAATATAATCCACGATTTCTGCTAGTTATAATAGCAGTATAATATTTATTACTAGTATTATTAATATGGCTTGCAATTTTCTCTCTCAGCAAAATATGTAGTAAAATGTTAAAGACTCATGTTTTCATATCGTTCTCACAACATAAAATGACACTGATTGTAGAATTTGTCATTGTGTCTCCCCATTGTCTTTGCGATTTTAATTTCCTTTCTTTTTCTTACTAATTGGAAATTCTTAAAGGGTGTGTTTGGTATAACGGAAAATGTTTTCCGTGGAAAATATTTTCTTGGAAAACAATTAGTAATCTTATTTATTTTCAGGTGTTTGGTACGCAAATTGAGGAAAATGACTTCTCAAGAGTATTCATAAATAATTTAGATATAATAATCATGAAGCCATAAACTTTCAAACCAACAACCTTCCGAACCCACAAATTTCACAAACTTTCGAATCGCTAAACTTTCAAAACCGCGGAATTTCGAACCCGTAAACTTTATAATTTCTATACCCGTAAACTTCCAAACACATAAACCTTCGAACTCATAATTTTAGAACTTGTAAAATTTTGAACTTTTAAACCGATAAATAAAAAAATTAAAATTGAAAAATATATTTAAAAAATATTTTTTTTTGGGGGAGGTGGGCAGGCCCAGGGGGGAGGGGGGTTTGGGGTAGGTGGTGCAGAAAAATGAAAATTTTAAATTTGAAATAGAAAAAAGAAATAAGGTAAAAAAAAATAATTTTTGCGGTGGGGGGGTGGGGGTGGAAGGTTAGTAGGGTGGATGGTAACGGAAAAAACTGAAATAAAAAAAATAAAAAAAAAGACTTTTTTTAGAGAGGGGGGTGGGTGGGTTGGTGACGTTGGGGAATGTTGAGAAAGAGTTTTGGAAAATGTTTTCCCTTCTCTTGATAAGGAAAATATTTTCCTCCAATAGAGGAAAATGAGTTGATAAGAAAAATATTTTCCAAAACATTTACAGCTTGTTTGGATGGTTGTTACGCATCGTTTCATAATGTATCGTATCGTACTGTATTGTATTGTACTGTACCGTTTGATAAAAATAATGTTTGGATAGATTGTGTCGTTTGCCATCGTTTTATGATATCACGCACCTGCAATATGAAGAATAAACTTGTAATATTATTAAAAAAAATTATGATACAGGGTAAAACTACTATATAAAAAGGTAGGGTAAATGATAAAATAAAATTATCTAATAATAGTAAATGGTGAAATTGAGAGAAAAAGACAAGGTAACGATGCGACCACACCAAATCGATCGTTACATAAAGTGGCACATTTCGTCGTTATGTAACGGCGGATTAACGATACGATACAATAAAATTTAAGTAACAATCAAAACAAACATCGTATTTAAAATAACAATACAATACAATACAATGGGTAACAACCATCCAAACAAGTTGTTAAGCCAATCAAACATGAGAAAATTGAAAAATATTTTCCGGAAAATGGTTCTTCGTACCAAACGCACCCAAAGACATTTGTTATTTTCCATTGCAATTCGAATAGTGTCTTTGTAATATACGAGCCGAGAATATATATCAGGCACCTACAATGTTGATTTTTAAAATCTCCGATGAGGTAGCAGTAGAGGCGGACCTATGATTTGAGGTTAATGGGGCACAATTATTTTTAATATAAACATATTTTTGTTTTAATCATTTGATATTCAGTATCCACAGGACCGACTAATTTGAATTAGCATGGTGTAGGGATCATTAAAGGGAAACGCTCCCTACTAAGAATTTCTTCATTCTTAAGGGTTTAACGTAGACATGCCAATTCCGAACTACAAAATTTATGGTGTGCAACCCTTGGAAAACTTAATTATTGTGACAATTTGTGAGCAAATTAAAGCATAAGCTTCAAACATATTATCAAATGTCATTAATTTGGTGCTAATATGACAAAAGTACAAATTCTATATATGTCTTAAGACTAACAGAATATAATTATCAATTGAAACAGTTAAAGTTGACAATGATAGTGCAAAGATGCTTCGGCATTTGCTTAATACAGTTACACAAATAATAATTCATTATTTGCAAACAAGATTGGGCTATTAATGGCTACAATTCGGAACACATCACATATAATGATATCCTCACGTAAACCATCGGGCCGAAACATTTGAAAAGCACTAAACAATAATAACATCTCAAAAAAGAAGAGCTTGCTTTACTTTTCTAATTCATTGTTTTACAGGGCGACGCTAAAGATAGCGAGTTTACAATTATTTGAAAATGTTTAACAAATTATTGCAGTAAAATGAAAAAATCATCACTCCTCGCTTTTATTGGGTCCTTGCGAACTGGCCGTTCAGTGAAAGACTCTTCACAAGTGACAGAACAAGTAATGGCACTACTTATCTCACTATTCACCATATAAAAGTTCTAGTCTAAATCTTTAATCGAATTTTTAATTTGTAACACGGCTAGATCATAATTATCCCGACAAATCTGAAGGCATTGCTTGAGAATGGGGGCATTGGTTGCTTTAACATAATTAGAGTTTGCTTTAACATAATTATAATTTAACATAATTGGTTGCTTTAACATAGGAAAATCACTATTGATTTTCCTATGGAATTCATCATCTTCTTTTTTTAAATCTTGTATGTGTTATGATGAACTCTTCTTATAGAATATAATATCCACATTTATGTTGGTATTACTCCGATGAGATTGTGGATATCAAATTTTACTTCTTTTTTTTTGGGGAAAAGAATTAAATGCTATAAATAACCTTCATTATTCAATGTGGATGAAATTTCACTTAGCAATTTTCTAAAGAGTTAATACCCTAAAATCGCGTTCATTACTCAATGGCCACTCTCAAATTATCTGCAAAAGTCATTTTTCTTTCGGTTGCAACAACAAAATCATTTAACTATGCCTATAGCACTCAGAAGGTCACTCAACTAGATTTTCTAAATTTTTTATTGTCAAATACCTATTTTACCCTATAAATTATTATTTTTTAAACTTTTTAAATATTATATTTTTTACTCTTTTTAATCTATATTGTGGGCTTACCTTTAGAATAAATATATTTTATTCATAAAATAAAAAATAAAAAATAAGTTTCCAGCTCATATAACGCCGCAATAATAATATAATTGAGCATAATTTTCAAGAATATATAATGTATATTATAAAATACCTTTACTTAAATAATTATTTTTATATTACGTGCTTGGAATATATATTTTACAACCTTTATTTTCTTTCATTATCAATTGTGTAAATAAAATTTTGAATTTTTGTTGTTAATATTAAAATCATTATTGCGAACAAATTGTTCTAATTCATTTTTTTACTATACTCATTATTTTGTTATTCCAGCATTATATATGCTTAAATACTTTTATTTTTTTAATTTATAAATAAAATTTATTTATTCTATATGTAAGTCCATAATATAAATTAAAAAGTTAAAAAAAATAAAAAGAAGATAAATGTTTATAATTTAGAGGGTAAAATAGGTATTTGAAAATCAAAAATTTGGAAAATCTAGTTGAGTGGCCTTCTGTCACGATCCGAAATCCACCTGTCGTGATGGCGCCCATTTCAATATTAGACAAGCTGACAATCTCAATAAAACACCATTTCTTTTAAATACTGAAAACATTATATTCAGGTCTAATAAAAATCCCCCAAGTACTGATGCAAAATACACTCCCAAAACTCGCTATCACTGAGTACATGAGTATCTAAATTGTAACAAAGTCCGACTGATAAAAACACTGTCTGGAAATATAGAACAGTACAAATAACTGAATGAAATGAGAGTCAAGGTCTGTAGACGCACAACATCTACCTTTATAATATCAGACAGATAGATCCTCAACTACCTGTGCAGCTCCTCTCTGTAGATCTGTGGCACAAACTTCTCCAAGAATAACACGGTGCTGCACCAACTGATCTCCTCCTCTCATAAGCCTCCCACCATCTGAAGGCTGCCACAGTCAACTAGAAAGTAGTAATTGAGACCTCACTGGTCTCCAGAATACCCGTTATACGAAGAATCCGCTGGACCTGTCCAAAAAGTTCTGATCATCCTCTAACTCAGTTCCACTGAATGATGGAGGTTGGAGCCTCCCAAACCTCTCTAATCTCCTCTACTCATCGTTAGTCATAACAGGAACCACATGGGCCTGAGTAGTTGCAACCGGCTGTACAGTTACTATCCCCGGCATCTGAAGTTTCTGCACTACCTGCTCTGGAGTACGGGCGCCAGGGGTATGAGTACCTCCCCCAACCTGAGAAGAGGCAGGTGCGGCCTGAGTCGAGATAACCTGAGCAAGGTCAGTGCAAACTGTCAATATCTGGGCCAAAGTCTCCTGAAGGCCTAGAATCACAATAGGCACAGCTGGTGCCTGAGCTAGTCATGTCGGCTCAGCCATATTTGGAATCTGCTCCTGAGCTGGAGCAAGTGGTGGTGCTACAGGTGCTGCTCCAACTGTTGTACAAGCTGCACCTCGACTTCTACCTCAGCCCTAGCCTCTACCACGGCCCCGACCTCTCGTGGCCCTGACTAGTGGCACTGGTGGTTGGCCGTCCAATCCGGAAGTACGTGTCCTCTCCATGTGTTAGAGAATAGAATAATAGAAATTTAGTTTCTGGAATCAACAAGTCGCACTGCCAGAATACAAGAAAGTGAAATTTTCCTAAGGGTTCTGCAGCCTTTTGAAAATAAGTACAGACGTCTTCGTACCGATTCGCAAGACTCTACTAAACTTGATCATGACTCGTGAGATGTATGTAACCTAGGCTCTGATACCAACTTGTCACGATCCAAAATCCACATACCGTGATGACTCCTATCTCAATACTACAAGCCGACAATCTCAAGAAAATACCATTTCTTTTAAATACTGAAAACATAATATTCAGGTCTAATAAAAATGCCCTAAATACTGATGCAAATACACCCCCAAAACCCGATGTCACTGAGTAC